AGAAAAACAAGTGTGCATCTGTAAAGCCAGCAGGGAAAGTGGGACAGGACGATCGAAAGGTCAAGGTCAGGGCCTGAAGACATGGCTTATCAGGAGCACTGGCTGTTCTTCCAGAGGTTCAATTCCCAGCACCCACATGGCAGCTATCAACCAAGTCCCAGAAGATCCAATGCCCTCTTCTGGCTTTTGGGCACTAGGCATGCACATAGTGAACAGACATACATGCAATGTAGGTAAAACACCCATACCCAAAAATATTTTAAGTGTTGTGTGACAAAACTTTCTGGGGAGATACAACACACGTATACTCGCCCCACACAGGAATCCCATGACAGACCCAAATACTGATACCACTTGGTGAACCAGTGGATTTTATTGCGGTTACTTAACAAAGCAGAAATGACTCAAAGGCAGCTGCATCACCAAAGCCCACTGCAACACAGGTGACACCTCACAAAAGCTGGGAACCTACAGCACACGCACAGCCTGCAGGCAGCTCAACAGATTGGAGAATGTCCTTTCCAGGTTCTCAATTGGTTGGTCTCAGTTGGTCTAAATCACTTCCAGGAAGCTGGGCTGGTCTCTCACAGCCTGCAGGCAGCTGAACAGATTGGAGAATGTCCTTTCCAGGTTCTCAACTGGTTGGTCTCAGTTGGTCTAAATCACTTCCAGGAAGCTGGGCTGGTCTCAGAATCTTCTTTGCAGTTTGGCTTACCTAAGAGTATTTTGCAGTTCAGCTTCTCTTCTGAGGGACTGGGACTCTCAGCTTTTATCAATTACTCCTGCAAGGTGGCGCCTAGTGGATCTGGTCACTTTCAGGGACTTCCTGAAGCTATTAGAGTGTTTTATCTTCCTGCTTCAGGAGCTTCCCTGTAGACTGGAATGTTTCAATCTCAGGAAATTTACACTGCAAAAAGGTCAGGATCATATTTAGCTATATAGCAAGGAAACCATCCTGTAATACATTGATACCCTGTCTCAAAAAGAAAAAGCCTGGTGGTAGTGGTACATTCCTTTAATCCCAGCACTTGGTAGGCAGAGGAAGGTGGATCTCTATGAGTTCAAGGCCAGCCTGATCTACAAAGTGAGTTCAGAATAGCCAGGACTGTTACACAGACTGTTTTTTTCCTGTCTCTCGAGAAAAAAAAAAAAAATAGTAACACCACCTGAAATTTCTGGCATAGTGGGCATTCTGAAGGAACACCAATATGTCTGAAGTAGTGGATGGGGACAGTAGTAAGGGGTAAAACCATTATGTTGAGAAGAACATGGAATATCTTTTATGCTATATTAAGAATCGCACTGCCTAGTTGTACACACCATTAGGATATGTTGAAGAGCTATAGGCAAAAGGATCATCAGTTTGAGACCAGATTGAGCTATTCAAGGAAGCCAGCAAGATGACTTAGTGGGTAAAGGTGCTTGCCACCAAACCTGATAACCTAAATTCAATCCCAGGAACACACATGGTTAAAGCAGAGAAGCAACTCCTGCAAGTTGTCCACTGACCTCCACATGTGCCCAGCCATACCCGTCGGCCAATTCAGTCTCACTTTAGGAAAAGGATTGGACTGGCACTGGAGATGTGTGGCTCAGTTGGCAGATTTCTTGCCCAGCACACCCAAGGCCTTGGGCTCGATTCCCAGCATTGCATAAACCAGGTCTGTGGCACATGTCCTGTAGTCCCAGCACTTGAGAGGTGGAAGGAAGCATATCAGAAGTTTAATGCCCTGCTTGACTACAAGGAAGTTTGAGAACCACCTGGGATGCATGTCTCAAAGCACTGAATCCAGACAGGCAGATAGCATACTTTGTTAAGCCTAGGCCTCAAGGCTGAGGCAAAAGGATCAAGAGTTCAAGCCCAGCTTAGGTTACCCACTGGCTCAAGGCTAGTCTGAGCTACAAGTGAGACCCTTTCTCAGAGAGAGAAAACAGTTGTACTACTGGGGAGATAATGTAGCTTAGTGGAAGTGCTTGCCTAGCATATGCAGACCCTGAGTTTGATCCCCAACACCAGAAAAAGAAAATCACAGTACTTGAATAATAGAAAAGGAATTTGAAAAAAGATTTTAACAAGCTGGCATGGTGGGTCCCTGTGTGTTTGAGGCAATCCCAGTCTACAAATTGAGTTCCGGGACCGCCAGGACTGCACTATGAGATCCTATCTCAAAAAAAAAAAAAGTTAAATGTGACACTGACTGACTGTCTGCAGGCAATTTCAATCCCCTATGACAACAGCTAGAGTATTGCATAGGGTGCAGGCAGGTCCTGCATTTCTGCAGTCTGTAAAGGTTCCAAGGAGACTAGACCCAAGAGGGAAGATGGTAGCTTCTGCAGTGCAGCCAACACCAGTTACATAGATGACAGTCACTGCATTCCAAAGCTACAATTCCTCAGGAACCACCTATAAAAACATGTCAGTAAACCACGGCAGAGTTTGTAGAGTCTTTTTTTTTTTTTGTAGACCTTTTATTTTATGTGTAGAATGTTTTGCCTTCAGGTACTTATGTGCATCAAACGTGTGCCTGGTGCTCAAGGAGGTCCTAAAGAGAGTGTTGGATCTCTTGGAACCGGAGTTCCAAATGGTTGGAGCCACAATGCTGGTGCCAGGAACCAATCCCAGGTCCTCTTCCAAATCTATTTCATTATTTTAAGACTAATATAAAGCCAGGCATGGTGCTTCACACACAGAATCACAGCACTTGGGAGGCAGAGGCCCCAGGAAAGCAAATCCCTAGGGGTTACTATAGCTCAGTTGTAGAGCACCTGCCTCGGATGAACAAGGCCCTAGGTTTGATCA